GGCATGCCTATCCTCCATGTAAATAATTAAAATGCTCTCTAGAAAGCAAATGTTTTGAGAATGATGATGGCAACAAATGTACAAATGTGCTTGACACAATGTATGAATGTCTGGATGGTGATAAGAGTTATATGAGCCCCCAATAAAATGATTAAATTTTTTAGAAAAAGAATGTTAAAATCCATTATATGTTTTGTTCTAGAGACTCGTTTAAGACTTGGATCTCTTCATTTTAAATATCTAGAAAGGAGTAGGTTTTAAAAGATAATTACTGTGTTATTAGTCCCTGTTATACCTTTGCTGTATCTTAAAACAAAACAAAACAAGAGCTCTCTTTGGGGGCATACGACGCCTGGATGTAAGGAGCATCTACTTTGTGCAAAGCCAAGTCGGGGATGGTCCTCCATCCACAGCATGCATCCAGAAGGAGCCCCTGGGTGGTGCAGAGTCATGCCTGGGGACCTCAGAAGAGAGGGCTGGCTATCCACTTAGGAGAATCAGAGCAGAGCAGAGTTCTGCCTGATACACATGGGCTCACTGTGAATGGGAGCGGGCTTGGTGGCAACTGGTGGCCTAAAAGAGAGATTTCCACCAGAGAACTTTCTGGTCCTGGTTACAGACAGGGAAGCCATGGGGCAATGTTGGTGGAGCGCTGGATGTGGCCTGTGAGTGTGCTGCACAAACCATCCCACAGAAAGCCACCGCTGGCTATATCTTAGCTTCCCCAGGCCCAGATTAAAGATCAAGATCCTAGGTTCTAGAAATGAAGTCTCTGTTGGGGAGAAAGAATAAATATACAGACCTGGGACCATATTATTTCAAAGACGTCAAATATGGCCCCAATGCAGTGATGTCCCAGATAACAAAGATCATCATGTTCAATAAGTGTATTTGAACCCACTGTATATGCTGGGCCTGAAACGTATCCTCACATGAGGACATTCTGTTACATTGGAGGGTCTCCTGAGAACTATATCAATTGACATCTCTGCAGGCAAATAGTGATCTAGAATTCATTCTGTGGATAAATTTGGTTTAAGACTGCTCAGTCCACCTTCATTTCATTTCAGTCTTTGGCCGTGAATCTTGGGGGAAATCTGTTTTAGCATAACCACATTCATTTATAGCAATCCCATCATTCCACGAGTCTTAAAAGATTATAATGTAAGAAAAATAGATAAAATTATAGAAATTGAATGTTCTTCCACTATGCCACAATAGTTTGGCATTTCATACCTGCCTGAGAATCTGTTTACTTCAGTTTTAAAGTTAGGGGCTAGTGCAGGGATTCATACATGCCTTAGCTCGGTGTTGGCCTGTGAGCAGGAATGAGGGCGGATTCGCAGGAGAGAGCCCACTCATTAGCAAACTTTGATTTTCAAAATGGTGCCATTAAACCGCAGTGTCAATTGTTTGAGATTGCGATGATTAAGTCCATCCAGATGATAACTGTGAGTGGAGTACCCCGCAGGCACACATAACGACAACAGCAGCAACAAGTCTGTGAGTTTTTACTAGTGTATTAGTCTGGGTACTTAGGAGAAACAAATCCACAGCAACTCATGTATAAGAGAGAGTTTTATGTAAAGAAAGTGTGCATGACGAAAACATCCCAACCCAATGCTGCCCAAGCCCACAAGACCAACATTAACCCATTAACCCAACACCAGTCCACAAAGTCCTCCACCTCACAAAACAGAGGCAATGATGCTGACTGCAGGAGGAAAGCTGAGTCAGTGAATGAATAAGCATCTCAGCACTAACAGGGGTCTCCACATGGCTGCTCCAGCACCCAGGGCTGCATCGGGATAGGTCCATGTGGCTTCTCCTTGGGGATGTCTTGTAGGAAGTCAGTCTTGCAAGCTGACACAGGGAACTGCTAAGGCAGCTGCACCCTGATGCTACCATCACAAAGCAAGAGACCCGAGAACTAGAAAGGCGAGGCTCACCACCCATTTATCCCTCCGCCTTTCAATTAGCCCCTCATGTGATTATCGGCCAGGCTGGCACAATTAACTAACTCAACTAGTAAAAAAACATTTTTTTCCCTTTTCTTTTTTTTTGGGAGTTTTGCGGTTCGGTTCCGGCTTGGTTGGGCCCCGGATCCTGACGTCATTAGCTTTGATTTTAAAAACATGGCTGATGGGCAACTTCACCACGTCAAGATTGAGAGAGAAGAAGGACTGGTCTTTGTCGAGGTAATGTAACAAACCCCACAGTAGTCACGGTTCAAATGGACTCCCTAGCCATTTGGTAGGACCCCCACTAAAATTTTGATCCTAGATGTAAGGCATCAGGACAGCCCCACCTCTTCAGACCACCGACAGAACATCAAATGTGGGCAGGCTTTCTAAGCCGTAAAGTTCTGCCCAAGACAGTGTTCGCATTGGACCATTTCATATGCTGCGCCATGCTCACTTGGCTTCAGGCTGCTCAGTAGGAAAACAGTGGCTCATTGACCACAAGGTACCACTGGTGGACTAGTGGGATCTTAGGCGCAACAGTCAAACCAATTTCCATCCGATGGCACTAAACGTATCCGTTTTAACCTGGAAAATAATGACTGCAATAACAATAAAAGATTACTTGAGTCGCAGCAGAGGAATTGCAGTTATTCACTGCACTAGCTTTTGAAGAAAAGCACAGATGTGCCCGACCTCTGCGTCGAGGAACCTTTCTGAGCTGGCGTGATTCAAGTCTGCAGCAAAGGAGAGAAGTACTGAGGTGGAAAAGAACTGATCGTATCTTTTTGTTAGCTTTACTGACTGTGTTCTTTGTACAGTAGGGAAAAATAAAGATCGAGGCGGAGTATGCAGGGGTATCAGTGGTACAGAAATAGTTCAGCAAATAGCATTCCGTTAACCAAATGGCTATTAAAAATTCATTTTAAGGTCTTTGGGGTCAGCCTAATATGTGCTTAAAAAAATTATTTCTTCTTGTCTTCCTACACACCTTGCTGTTTTCTCAACACAACCGACCTCTACTGGCTCTTTGTGTCGCACGTAACGATCTTGCAGATTGATGAGAACACAAGGAGACAAGTCCACCTGTCATCCGGTACAGAATTCAGCGCCGTCAGGGCGCTTGTACTGGGCAGGATTGTAGGTAAGTACAAGAGATGACTTTTCCTCTAACGATAATACATGCACGGGGAGAATCAGGTTTCAAAGGCAGAAAGACATTCAGCAGACCCAAAGAAATGCCTTTCCTCGTTCTCCTTGCAAAGACCCCTGGTGGCATCGTCAGCTCCGCGCTGGGCTGCTAACCACAGGGTCGACAGTCTGAACCCATCGGATGAGGTTGCCTGTTCCTGTAAAGATTTACAGTCCCCAAAACCTTAGGGAGAGTTCTATTCGGTCTCACAGGGTCAATGCCTGTGAAGCGAGTCCATGGCAGTGGTTTGGGCTTGTTTTGATTGTAGAATGAATGGTAAGACTTCAGACTTCAAAAACATCAAGTAGCCTAGGTAGCAATAACGAAGTGTACATCAGGTGCTTGCCAAATAGAGAAACCTTCATGTGATGATCAGGTCTCAAAGCAAGGGAATGCTTTTCTTGTTTCCGGTTAGTGAGTATGGTGAGGTTGTGATTTGGGTCTTGTTTAGCCAGCTACCTTGGCGCAAAACCAACACACAAATGAACACAACTCAGGTGCACGGCCATCAAGCCAATTCCGGACTCACAGAAACCCGACAGGACAGAGTAGAACCCCTCCTCCTATGGGTTTCTGGGACTGCAAATCCTTATAGGAGTAGACAGGCTCCTCTTTCTCTTACAGAGAGCCTAGTGGGTTTGAACCTCTGACCTTGTGGTTAGCCGCTCCTTGCGTAACCCAGGAAGCCCTAAGAGCTGTAGCCTAATCTGACTGTCTGATACTCTTTACTCTTATCTGTCAATTCTTTCTGATATTGACACAGAAAAAGAAACACAATATTGCTGTTTTAGCATAAAGTACATGTACACCTCTCTCTTTTCTTTTCACGCTTGCTCACAGAAACGGCATAAGTTGAAATGGGAGTTGGGGACACGTATACATTGTTAAAGGGATTTTCATTTTGGTCATAAACAAATGGTCATAAGTAAACAGTCTTGATATTTCATAGCATTTGGTGGTGGAAGGTGCTTCTTATCATCTGTTTTCCATCACTCCTCTTACGCCCACTAGCACATCCTACTTTGTTCCTGAAGTTAAGCAGAAACTTCTATTATTTTTTAGCTTTGCCAGTTTTCATCCCTCAGTTAATCATGCCTTACATCTCTGGTACATCTCCCAGAATCCTAGAATTGTTTGATTAAACCCACAGATGAATTATCAAAATATTTGGCCCTCCAGAAGGTTAATAGTTAAATTCATAAATATTTATAGGCTTTCAAGTACTATGCTGAGCATCAAACATCCATGTTCTTATTCCCCAAACAAACAGGGAAATATCATGGATTGAAATGTCCCTCCTGCAGGCTGTGGCACACAGTAAAAAACAAAAAACAAAACAAAAAAATGTGCAAAATCCTGCCAATGTATTGGGAAACTTAACTGAGAAGTTCCCTAGGAGCTTTCCGATGTTAATAATATAAAGTCAGCAATTTAAGACCGGCACTCCTGTTAGTATTTGCTCTAAGTGTACATGTATCGACAGTCACTGATTTGACATACAGTGAGGATCCTACATGTTTTGGATAAGATTAGAGTTGATTCAAAAGGTAGCTTTGAAGTAAACTTACTATCCCTGAGGTCTTATTAACAAATGAGACAATTGTCACCTGAAGTCTGCCTGGGAGTGTTCGATTCAGACTCAACTTTCCATGTGCTGACGCCGTGGTTAGAGTTGCACCCTCGGGTAAAAACAGGCAGAGGTGTTTCATATTGAGTATTGGGAGACCTGGTGGTACCGGAGTGAGACACTCTGTGGTTTGAGCCCACTGGCCGCTCCGTGGCAGAGAGATGGCCGGTGGTGGTCGCCTTCCACAAAGCCTGGTCGCCTTGGACGCCTGTGGGGCTCCCACACAGGGCTCCTGTGGGTTGGAATTAACTGCACAGTGCTGAGCTTTTGGTTATTGGAAAATATCTGTAGCAGTTTCAGGCCACTGGAGAGATAAGGACACAGGCCTTTCTGAACTGGCTTTTTAACTTAGAGAACCTCACGTAGGCATTTCTGCACATCATCTTCAAAACATATACAATAATATACAATCATAACGTTGGTGGACTTGACTTCACTTATAACTATAGCAGAGCATAGGAAGCCATAGGTGGGGGGGAAAACAAAACCAAAAACAACCTTTCCAGCAACAATGACCCAAACCCAGCCGCTGCAATTAGCTGCACGAGCTGGTCCACCTTTCGGTGGTTCTCAGCCGCAGGGCAGGTCAAGTGGCTGGGGGAAAGGACAGAGATCCCTGGAGAGGGCAGGGACAAGGCAGAGCTGAGCACACCGGAGGGGGAGGCCTGCCCTCTACAGTGCAACATGCTGCCTGGCAAAGGACGCCGTGGTGGTAAAGTAGAAGGTCATTGAGGAGAGGCAGACCACCGATGAGATGGATGGACACGGCGACTGTAACCATGGGCCCAGTCGCAATTATTAGGAGCGTGACTCTGCACCTGGCATTGCTTCCTTCTCCTGTGCACGGACTCGCTATACACCACAACCAACTCCATGGCGCCTACCAAGAACACCAACAACAAGCCTACCCATCGTTGTCCAGAGCAATAACAAAATCCCATTGTTACTCACAGCGACCCTGTAGGACAGAGGACAACTGGTCCACAAGGTGGGGAAAGCCATTCGTCTTTACAGAGGCAAGCTGCCACGCCCTTCGCCTGCAGAGTGGCTTGTGGGCTTGAACTGCCAACCTTTCTGTTAGCAGCCAAGTGCTCAGTCATTGGACCAACAGGGCTCCCTGTCCATCGAACTGCATAGTGGTTATTCACCAAATTAAAAGAATGTGTAACTGATAATCTTAGGGGAATCTTTGCCCCTCAGTTTCTACTTTCGTAGCAATCCATGAGTGGAACTATGAGTGTATATACTGATAGCAAGAAGACACATGAATTAAAAATACCTGTTGTGCACAATATTATACCAGATGGAATCTCTAGGGCTAATCAAAAAGGTCATCAGTTCGAATCCACCCAGAGGCAACTTGGAAGAAAAATATGGATATATACTTCAAAGACATCAGCTATTAAAAACTTTCTGGAGCACAGTTTTGCTCTGCCACACATAGGGTTACTCCAAGCTACAGTTGACTCCACTCCACTTGTTGGCAACCTTTCTTTTAATACCAGAGATTGTGACAGATAGTCATAACAAAAGATTAAGACAGCTTCTGACTTCAAGAGTTTATCAGGGGAGATGAGGCATGTGTATTAAAACATGACACAACAGTAAAACATTAACAGTTACATAGAATATTGACAAGATCATGTTTCTGAAGAGATCCTGTGCTCAGAGTTCATGCCAAAGTTATTGGAGAAAGTATTATTTGTAAGTAGAAATGTGTAAAGTATATTATCAAATAATTGAGAAATTGATCTGCCTTTCATGAGGAAGATTGTATTAATCAAACAGTAGAATAATAATATTCATTATATACATATTTGTTTCCCTTCTTATAAATGAATGTAGATTAGTGTGTAATTAAAGATGTTAATATTTTTATACAAGAATTGCGTATTACTCAACTGCATATCACTCATGCTGAAAATTAAGAGTAAAATTCAAGTTTAGCAGTGAAGTGTATAGTCTGAATCAGCTTATTCTCTTAAAGTAAAAAGTTAGTGTTATCTAAGATTTCGGTCATGACCATAGACTAATGCTCCATTCAAATAGCTTACAGTTCAAAGAAGATGAAAAACGTATCATTGTATTTAATCCGATGTGTGGGTTTTTGACAAAATGCTATAGTCTATTACCCTACTGTTGTTGAGTCCATTCCAATTCTCAGCAACCTTGTAGGAAAGACTAGAACTCTCCTAGAGCCTTTCCAAAGCGAAAATCATTACAAAACCAGGTTTATTTGGGGAAGCTGGTGAGTTTGAATTACCAACCACTTGGTTAGCCAGCCAACACTTGTCCACTGTGCCACCATGGCTCCCCTGTAGTTTATTATTATTATTATTCATGTTAATCTCCAATATTGATTGATTCTAAAACAGACCATCAAGATGGATCAAAGGGAAGTGCTAATTTTCCAAAGAGAGTTCGTCAATCTTGAATTACTGTGCCAGTTGGGCATCCTCCAAGAAACCCTTGGCATGATGGGATTAACCACGCATGGATTCCTTAAGACGCACAGAGATGTCAGAGAAAAGCGCGATTGGGGAGGACGGTGGAGTTCCTCCGAGAGCTAAGTCCACTTGGTTCACCTTAGCTATTGACAGAACCTTTCCACACCTGCTACCTGATAGTATTTCAAATCTCACCTACAGTTTCATTGCAGAATTTTTATTTAGTAGTAAGGCTATTCTCCACGTGAAAAAAATCACTTACGTATGGGAAGGTGGCATCCTATATGGCTGAAAATGCAATGAGTCCTATTTGGTATGCATCATTTCAAGAACTGTGGACTGTATTAATAACACTAATGCCTTCACAAGGTGACTAACTTGCACTTGATGCATTAAATCAAAGAAGAGGGCAGGCCGACTTTCATTTCATAAAGGGACAATCTTGAACTTTATGGCGTTCATTAAATCCATACTAATCATTCAAAAAAAGAAAGAAATTGGGAAGGAAAGTCAGAAAGAAGTGACCTAAATAGTTGTGCAGGCTAAGAAAGGCTTGGCAAAGCCCTGGGCGAGTCCTGGAGGCACAGTTCGCTGTCAGTGGAGTCCTGTGTTTCCCAGGGAAGGACCAGCAGCCATTAAGTGGATGCAGCCCATCGGGAGCTGGACCAGGGACTTCAGACTCTACCAGCTGAAGCCTTCGGTCAGTCATGTTCCTGTGACTGGAGGTCACATGTCCGCACACTTACCGAATCTGCTTTTCATTACGGGGTTTTTAGGAGTCTACGTCACATGGATTTTGAGACCATCTCTAGGACAGATTTGCTGCATTGAACACTAAGGGCAGAAGACCCAGTGAGCTATGGAAGAGACCAGGAACA